CAAAGACCAAAATATACCACTTAGAGACTTGGTTTGTTTTTCTGTGGCTTCTTGCAAATCATTGACTGAAGTAGAAGTAAACGAGGCAGTCCGAGGGAAAGTGGGCACACACAAACATATAATTACAACTCTTACTTTACAACTACTTACAATTGATGACAATATTACAACTTGAACTCAGTGAACATCAGAAAGTGATGATATATCAGAGTGGATTTACTTTAAAGGGTAGTAAGAGCTCTTAAACTTTAGACACAAACTCCTTAAATATTTGTGGTTAAAAAGTAGTTAAAACGGTATTTCAAAAACCTGAATCCAAAAAATGTAAACTAAATACTAAAACAACATAATACAAAATATTTAAATGTAATTATAACTGGAATAATCTGTGTTTAATAAAATTTATAGTGGTGTGGGATTAAAAAGCAGTCCAGTAAGTAATACGATTACTGAATCACTCAGGATCTGCACAAAGTTTTTATGCTCCATTGATCATAAACTCAGCATTACACTTTGTCCTCAGTGAGCAGCCAAAAATGAGTCATGAACATCTGTTTTTCAGAGCAGCAACCTCCCACTGAACTCTCTGCAGCTCCATTTGTGAATTATTATTTCCTGATCGATGCACTGTGTTTGTTTTTGTTTGCATGTTTGTCTGTCTACTGTTGTCTAACCCCCTTCTAAGGAAACCTGGTACTGGGACAGCAGCAATGTGACGGAGATGGTTATGAGCGGTGTGAAGTGCACCGGCAACGAGATGTCTCTGAGTCACTGCCAGCATCACAAAACTGTCAGCTGTCAGAAGTCAGCAGCAAAGTTTGCAGCGGGAGTCATCTGTTCTGACAGTGAGTGAAAAAAACAGAAACAAATGGGAATGTTTGAAGAAACTACTTTGTTGACTGACAATCATAGACATATTTTATTGACCTGTTGAAACTCCAAGCGCCTAAAGATAGACCAGAACAGAAAAAAAAGAAGATCCAACATGATTGTATTAATTTTATTAACATATTTATGAGGGAAATCATTCATTTTAACTAATAATAATTTTTACTATAGTTCTTGTTACAACTTTCTGTAACAGCTCTCTGTATTTCATCTCCTGAGCTTTCTGATGATGTTTTTTTTGTAGCTATTGCTAATGTGGGTCTGTAAAGCTCAATGAGACATTTTATGTGTGTTGTGTAACACGTAATAGAAATGTTTGTCTTAATTGCTGGGTTGTGTAATGATGTCACCTTATTAAAACCACTAATAGTTAACAAGCAGCAGAACATTGACATGAACTTTGCCTGATAACGTAGAAATTTAAGAAGAATGTAATAAGTGAAATTATAATTTTATTAGTAAACATTGTCATCAAATCATCAATTAAAAATGTTAAACCTTATCCTGCTACTCCCCCTCTGTCCAGCGGCGTCTGACCTCGTCCTGAACGCCCCTCTGGTCCAGCAGACGGTCTACATTGAGGATCGCCCCCTGCACATGCTCTACTGTGCTGCAGAGGAGGACTGCCTGTCAAAATCTGCAGCCAAGGCCAACTGGCCCTACGGACACCGACGCCTGCTCCGCTTTTCCTCCCAGATCCACAACATCGGTCGGGCTGACTTCAAGCCAAAGGCCGGGCGGCATTCATGGGTCTGGCACGCCTGCCATGGGTAATGTGGTCTTCATTTACATCTTTTTGTCTAGTTCTTTTTAGATGAGTTGCTTCATCCTAAGAATACCAGACTGGAGTCTTAATGGTGCTGTGATCTAAGTTTTGGACAGGATCTGACAGGAAAAGTTTAAAGTTTATATCAATGCAATTCCATTATTTTATTAGATGATGCACACATTCTAGTGTAACAGTACATTTCCTATTGCATGTGTTTCTATTTCGTGCACCAAACAGAGTTTAAGAATAAGACTGAGTCATTGCAGCAGAAAAGGTAGATGCAGATGAAAATACAGAATAAATCCTGATGAAATATTTGTAGCCCAGAGTAAGAGCATAGATTTTTATAATGTATGTGAATTTAATTTAGAAGCTAGATATAAACCCCAAAATTCCTTCTACATTTTTGTGTTGTAGATGTCCATTTTTTCTCTCTGAGTCAGCTGATAAAAATACTCCACATATATCCTCCTCCTTCCTTATTCTGTAGCCAGGCAACACAGGAAACTGTTTATACAACAGCTTTGCTGACATGAAATGAAATGCCCTGTTTACAGAATTTGTGAGATTAAAATGCCTGCAGTATAAATATTTTTAATATGCTGCATTATAGCCATTAAAACCATCATCCAGTACTTCTGCTATTACAGTATTAAAATGCTGAAGTCAATTAATTCAGTCATTATTAATTATTTTATGTTACCCAGTGTATTGTTCCATTTTTTATCATTGTATGCCACATATACAGTATATCAGAAATAGATTATCTCTGATTCTGTAACAAAATCAAACCCTTCTCTATTCCTGTCATCTTATTTTCACTCAACATATTGCCCTTTATAGCATTTAGAACATTTTAGATGAAGAATATGAATTGTATATTTCAGGAAAACCCAAGTCTGTACCCAACATCATGTTTCATCCAGAAATACATCATATAAAAAATCATAATTTCACATCCATTTCAATGTTAGTTATCTTTTTTGCTACAAAATGTTTTTAAGCATAGACACAGTTTTGTCACTTTTTTGAATGGTGTTTTGTGTTGTCATTTATCAAAGGAGATGCCGCTTTGACTATAAAATACTGGAGTTTCTAATCTTAACAGCAGCCTTTTTATCTGTATTATACAGCCACTACCATAGCATGGATATTTTCACCCACTACGATCTGCTGAACTCCAACGGTAGCAAAGTGGCAGAAGGACACAAAGCCAGTTTCTGTCTGGAGGATACAGATTGTCAAGAGGGTGAGTCAAAGCACAGGGTCTGTTTTCATTTGTTTGGAGAACCAGAACATCACATCTGAATTTTCTAAACATGTTTATTAAGTCCCATGTATCTTAAAATGTATAAATCTTTCTGACACCCAGGTGTTTCTAAGCGGTATGAGTGCGCCAACTTTGGCGATCAGGGCATCACTGTGGGCTGCTGGGATTTGTACCGTCATGACATCGACTGCCAGTGGATCGACATCTCAGATGTCAAACCTGGAAACTACATTTTGCAGGTGAGCATGTGTGGCTTAATTTGTAGAGCAAACAGCAAATACTGCCCGGTGTCTTAGTGCTAAAACAAAACTGTATGGATGTGAAACTATTTACTTATTTACAGTGTGTCCAATAGTTAAACTGGCGACACACTTAGACAGTTCTAGACAATCTTCACAAAATCCATCAGTGCTGAAAGAGCATGTGGGTCTGGATTTGCAAATAAATGGCAACACCAGCTAGTTCCAGCAACTTTGATGAAGTCAGGCAGCTCTCAAACAGTAACTTTGTAGACTAACATATACACTATTGCTCCAGTATTTATAACTGCATATCAAGCTATTATAAACAACCAATGCCGTATGTTTGACCTCTGCAGTTATAAAGTACCCCCGCCTCTCTTTTCTTATTTCTCTCCTCTGCCTGTCTCACTACGTTTCAGAATTTTTGGATAACAATACAATTTAAAGACAAATCTTTAGATGGATATCTGCATTATTTTGGCATAATCAGCTCCAGATGCACTCTCCTCTCTCTGTGGAACCAAAAAACACTATTGAGAAGACTACAGGAAGTACTTCAGGAGCCAAGTTTACATGAATTCAGACCTTCCTCTCACCACGAGACTTGAAGGACACCATCAATCAAACCTAACGAAAAAAAATTAAAGGCCACACATTACAGTAAATTTAAAATCAACTCAATTAACTCATTTTTGTTGGAAAACTGTCAACAAAGCCTGTTGTACATTAATAAGCATTAAAAACAGCCTATTTATCCTGTCTTATTCTAGCATTTAAACTGCTGTACACACAGAAGAAAGCTAGATTGGGCAATTCATTCCTGGACACCAGCTTTTAACAAGACTTTACAAATGAGTTTACTGTCAAGTGAAAAGGTTGATATTGTGTTTTTAATGTCTGTGATTATCTGTGCTATTATATAAATGTTCCTTTTGTATTTCTCCCCTCAGATTGTGATAAATCCAAATCACGAAGTGGCTGAGAGCGACTTCACCAACAACGCCATGAAATGCAACTGCAAATATGACGGACATCGAATCTGGCTCCATAACTGCCACATTGGTAAGCAGTCAGAAACACAAAAATGACCAAATGTTAATGTATAATTTGGCTCTCGTTTAAACTTTTTTGACTGCTTCATTCGTTGTTTCTTTCATCCTTACAGGTGATGCGTTCAGTGAGGAGGCAGAGAGGAGGTTTGAGAAATACCCCGGACAGCTTAATAACCAGGTTTCTTAATCAACAATAATTTTAACAACAATAGGAGACCCAAAGTGGGCGTTGAATGAATAAAAACACACCTCAATAGCTCAAAAAGCAAAACACGAACCGTTTTCAGTTACCAAAATGGATTCCCCCACATATCTGAGATTATTTGGAGTCATGGAAGAAGCCAAAAGTATGTTCCTCTGTTTGAATGTGTTGTATGTCTGAGTTATTATACTTGAATATTCAAGTGCAAATGTTGTTTTGGATTTTCTTTTCTCAGTCTAATGTGAGCTAATGCTATATTTTCTATCACAAAGTAGGATTTATACAGTCTGTGTCTGTCTGTAACAAATGTACAGCTTTCTATTGAATGTTTTTCCCGAGTTATGAATTAATCCATTTTTTGTTTTACTTGGAGCAAACAGGTTCAGCACTACCTGAGGTGTTAGCATTAGCTATAACACATTTAAAAGGTATCAACTGAGGCAGGAACAGGAACTAATGCAGCTTTGTGCAAGTCTCACTGGTCTTGACTGCAACTTCATACTGGGTGCTAAGGACAGAAGCGATAGACTGTCTCTCAGAGCAAAACATGAAATATTACCTGGATAATTCGCTCTGCATTAGAGTGTTATCTTGAAAGCTAAATGTACATAAGCATGTTGCTCAGGAGAAAAGCTTCAAAAGGTTTTCACATCAATTACTTTACAGTTTTATGTCATCTTGTTCACAGAAATGGTTTTAAGTAATAACATGTCTGCCTCCACGGTTACAATATTTTGTGAATGTACTGTATTTATTGCTAATATCAAGGTGCTCAAGAACAACCCTTATTCATTAGCATAATTGTCAGTTTGAAGTGCTTTACAACCAGTTTGAAACCATTTGTAGCTTTAGTCTGTATGTATTATTAATAGTAATTTAGGGTCAGAACATGGATGTTACTGGGCAAAGATAAAAACTACAATTACCCTCAAGAATTCCTGTATCTATGCTGATGTAATCACACCTGCTGCACCAAATAAAAAGGAAAGGAACAATAATTGTGCTGTATCTAAGAGACCTAATTAGAAACTGGACTAAGCCACATTCTTGAAGGTCTAGGCGAGTGGTTCTCAACCGTTAGGGCTTGTAACCCCTTAAAACTAAGGGGGGTTTACTCAAGTTGCTTCTTTCCTCCACTTATGGCATTGTTTTGTTTGTTTGTTTGTTTGTTACATTTTAAAAGGCCTGAAATATCATCCAGTCCTTCACAAAAAAAAAAAAAGTTTCTTTTAACTTGTATTTAAGGAACAAAATAATCTACAGATCTAAAGAGCTATAAATTGAGTCCTCACCAATCCTGACCATTGACTAATAATCTGATGTTCTGACTGTGATACTGAGTGAGCTGCGAGAAAGCTGCTCATCTGAATCTACTCTGTCGTGTTACCTCTAATCCCAACCTTTGCTGCCATGGTTGAACAATCCCATTAACCCCCACTAACAATCACATTAACTGTGTGCCAGTCGCATCCAATGATGTTTAACACAAACATCAATATATATCAGCAGTAAGAGAATAAAACCTCTAATCCCTCATTAGCTTTCAGAGACATTACTAATCTGATTTTTCATTATTTAACCATACTTTAAGTAGATTTACCGTCCAACCCAGGGCTGCAACTAATGATTAATTTGCCAATTATTTTGTGGATTAATTGATCATCTTCTAATATCTTGTTTTACCCAACACCGAAACCCCCCAAATATTCCATGTACAATGATACAATCCTCAAACTGAAGAAGCTGGAACCAGATAAAGTTTTGAATTTCTGCTTAAAAACTTTTTAAATGATTCATCATCAGTAGTTATGTCAATCAACTAATCAGCCTGTCATTTCACCTCTATTCCACACCTGTAATTAAAACTGATTATATTTTTGAATTGATCCAGATGAAGGATTTGAAATTCGCATTAAAGACAAAGTCAATTTCCCAAAAGTATTACCTGAGTTGAATTGCTTTGTTTATCCCTCTTCACACTGAAGCTGCTGCACTTTGCCTGAGTTTCTCTTTAAGTCTTCACCTCTCCTCCTCATCATCCCATCAATCTCCAAGCCTCACATGACATAACAGGATTACTGGTTAAACACTGACAACAATGTGGAGAGTTGTGCAGGGTGCCATCTAGAGGGCAGCAGCATCAAGTGCAGGAGCTTTACCTTCACCACAGGTAAATTATACACTAAACAATAAGTTGTACACAAACATCTTCATATAATGGGACTCTGAAGACCATGGTTGTGTATATCCATTGAGGTATCCCTATTACCAATCGAGTAGATGATGCACAAGAGCTTAATGATACTTTTACTGGATATCCAGAAGAAACCACAGAAAGTTTTGGATTTCATCCTATGCTGTTGAAAAAGATTCAGACTAATTTAGTGGAAACATTCATTTACTTTACATACATTACATATCATGAGAAGACAGTGATGATCAAAAGAACATGTTGACATGTAGAGCACTCAAATAAGGAAGAAAATGAAGCAGAAACATGAAAAATAAAAAGGCAGCTGGCCTTGTGACCAAAACATGATCACCTCATACTTTTCTGATGACATGAGAATTTAGGTTTCCCATCAAATGTGACACGAAGCATTTCATCAACATTAGTCACTTTAAACTGCTTCGAAATGGATTAAGAATCTCCAATGGAAACATCTCCGATATTTCTTTCTTTGAGAGCTACGATAACATTCTCACGCTGAGTGTTTTCTGTGTTTGAGGAAAATCCGCCTCCGGGTGGATCAGACTCAACTCGTCTCACAGTCCTGACTAAGAGAATGATGTTGGTCTGTTTTTGTTTATCCTCATAAACAGAAACATACAGCTCAGTCTGGTGTTTCACTGCAGCGTCGTCTGTTTAACAACTCTCCCTTCTTTGTCGATGGCAAAGTTGTAATTCTTTGGATTGTCTAGAGCCTCGTCTATACGCTGATCCAAGTTCTCCAAGGTGATGAAGTTCTTTGCATCCTCCTGTAAGAAATTAAAAGTCACTGTAAGGCAGGGATCTAATTTGTATCTATCTTAATGCAGAATTGTAATTTTCGCTTACAGAAAACTATATTCTGTAGACTACATAAACATGCAAAAGCAGCCTGTAGATTTTAACATAACATTTCCAATTCAGTTTGGAGGGAGAAAACAGGAAGAGGGTAAACAAAGATTGAGAAAATCATACCTGCAACTTCAAAATTTCACTCTCTTTTTCTTTGATGAGTTTCTCCCGTTCTTGTTCACGCTTAATGGCAGCTTCAACCTGCTTGCGCTCAGCTTCCTCCTTTTCCTTCTGGACCCTCAGCACCCTAAAAGATACAGAGGAGACAAAATCCTTTTTTTTTTTTTTATAAATCACACAGATGAACACAATACATAAAACCAAGCAGTCAGAGTATTGCATGTCTTTAAATTAGGTTTTCATTCTTCAAGTTGGAATTTTCAGTTATTTTCGTACCTGAGTTTGAGCATGCGCAAGTTCTCCTGGTTGTTCCAGGCCATGAGGGCGCGATGCTCCTCCGCCTCCTGCTTCGCTCTCTCCTCCGCCAGGGAGCCCGTCTCCTCCTCGTACTTTCTTCGAAGCACTTCCTCCTTAAACTCCAGACTAACAAACACGAGTATAAGAACCAGGTTAAATTCACTCATTTAAATTATTTAACTTTAGTCAACTTAAAATATAAACAGACATAAAAAAAGGACATCTTGTCACTTTACAAAAGGGCAAGAGTACAATTCACATCATTTAAAAAGGAAAATACATGCTTAAAAGGGAAAATACATGTTTAAAACTGTATTTCAGTGGCATTATATCATGATGAACAGTGATTTTCTAATAGTATAAAGCACACAATAATTCACTTCATGACGACATGAAGTATGATTAATTTTAAGGAATATTACTTTAACATTAACAAGTAACTATCGATTATTTGCTATAAATCTAATGTTTATTGGAAACCTGTTACAGACACACAGAATGGGGTGAATGTGGTTTTAAAGGGAGCATGTAGTGATGGGCAACATCAGAGAAAAGTAATGTTGCCATTGTATTTTTTAGGGAATTGGAGGCATCTAGAAATTCTATGAAAATGAAATCAATCCAGAAGATTTCTTCTGATCATTTGCCAATAACCTTTCCAATTTATCAATTATTTGTTTTCGTCTCAAACATGTCAGCAAATAGTGTAAAATTCACCTATTCCCAGAGCCTACATAGAAAAATTGAATTGCTTGTTTTGTGGAACAAACAACAATTGAATTGAAGGTATATTTGCTTAACATGCAGATTCATTTTCTGACATATTACTTCTGCTCTACTTTGCATATCATGCATTTAATCGAAACCAAATTGATTATTTAACTACTTTAAATTAGCATGGTTTTGATTTCAAGCATATTTACAAATATTATTCTAAATATGCACGACTCATATTAGGGGAGGCAAAGAAAATTAAGGGAATACCAACTTTGACCAAAAATTTGAGCGATGCACATTTTGCCACAATACTGGAAGTTTTTCAGCACCTGTTGGCTCATTTTGGCACATTTATTGGATGGAGGTTGAGGGCAAAACAAATGTTAAGCCTGGGAATAAATGTTGAGAATTTATTTGTTAGGGGGTCAAAGATTTTGTGATGACCGGGTGTTTAGTAATGATTTAACGTACCGAAGCGCTCTCATGATCATCTGGTACTCCGTGAATCTCTCCTTGAGGACCACCATCTCCACCGGATCGACGGGGGGAGGCACTTTGATTCGCCCCTCTTTGGACTTCGCGACCGGGTCGGTGCGGGACTTTCTGCCCCGGACTGCCTCCACGAGCACGGCGCTCCTGGGTGCGAGGAGCCGGGCCGCCTGGACGCTCCTCCCGCCGATAACCTGGAACATGTCGGCGTCAAAAATGTGGTAACAGGTGCAGCTTTTTAGTGGCCCAGTGTAGCAGCTGATCAAAGCATTTGGGTTTGAAACTTGCGCTGTAAGTTAACATTGAGACCGAAATGTTACCGACACAAGGCGGCAGCCATGTTGGTTTCCTCTGACCGGAGGAAGTGATTAGCAGAGCAGCTGAGAGGCTGTTTAGACTCCACCGCCATCTGTAGGATGCAGAAAGGGCTTCAGGGGTGATTAAAAGAGAGTTTCCATCTGTCACCTGTGTTGTTGTAGTACAATCTTGTTATAAATACAGTCTATGAGCACTATCTATCTAGCTACTAAGCTAGGTAGCTAGTTTGCTAAATAGATAGCTACGTTAGCTTAGCAGTTATTCAGCAGCCAGCTGGGCAATAAAACAAAAAGGATAATTATTGTGATATAATTTCCTAAATAACGATATAACTAATTTTCAATAAATGTTTGATATAATTCATTTTAATCACGGATGAATTAGCACATCATTTTTCTATTAAGATATTTATTTTGTCGAAGAAAAGGGACTGAAAAAAGATTTAATTATAATTGTTTTGAATGTTTTACCTCTCCACTGTTTGGGATTAAATGTTTGTCATGTTATGACCATAGAGAATAGTTTTAAAACCTAAATGAACCATCTGGTTTCTTAAACTTTCACTCAGGATCAAAAATCTGCCTTTAAACTTGAAATAAATAAAGATTTGACATTTATCATGATAATAATTGATGTTGAATGATAAGAATTTTTTTATTGTGATAAGTGAACAAAATTATAAACATGACACTTTTGTTTTTGCCCCCATTCATCATGAGCTGAACTCAAAGATCTAAGACTTTCTCTATGTGCACAAAAGGCCTATTTCTCTCAAGTATTGTTCACAAACCTGTCAAAATCTGTGTTAGTGAGCACTTCTCCTTTGCCGAGATAATCCATCCACCTCACAGGTCTGGCATATCAAGATGCTGATCAGACAGCATAGATATTGCATAGGTGTGCCTTAGGCTGGCCACAATAAAAGGCCACTTGAAAATGTGCAGTTTCACTGTACTGGGGTGGGGGGTCCAGAAACCAGTCAGTATCTGGTGTGATCACCATTTGCCTCACGCAGTGCAACACATCTCCTTCGCATAGAGTTGATCAGGTGACTGACTGTCACACATTTAGCAACAAACATACACTGTGCATCATCCTGGCTCTAGCCCCAGTTTGTGCCTCTCATGTATCATCATTAATGTAATAAATGGTTAATTATAATACATGGGGGCTAAATGTCATTATACTGCCATTAAGATTTTTTTCCTTTATGATCAGTTAGTTTAAGGGTATTTTGCAGAAGGAGGGTGGTATCCCAAATAAAGTATGTAGGAGAGCTAAACAAATAGGACAACTGGGGCAATTATGTTTGCAGTATTTTAAGAAATAGGCTAGACATAATCCAGTGGCAATGATAGGTGAAATATAATAGTTTTTTTAAGAGCTCGCCAAACAAATTACTAAACTAAGGGTGGGCAATATGGATACAATCTTCTTATATATCACACAGTATAGGCTATTTGCACAACATTGCACGAGACTGTGGAAAATGCATGAGGTAAGATTCCCTAAAAAGCACAATTTCACAAAAAAGACATTCAATTTGAGAAATTAAAGGACTTCTAATGACTTAAAACCAGTTGGCTCTTAAAACAAGACAGTGACACATCACGACAATTAATGTTATGTATGCTGAACTGTTGTTTTACACTCACTATTTGCATTCATGTGAAAACTCCTGTATTTTTTGTGCGTTTCCTCAGAGTTCAGTGGGATGCTTGGTGTCAGCCTGGTGACTGATGATCCTGCTGAGGCAAGGCAACAAGACATTAAAGATACAGTTAGCTTGCCAGGAACAAGGAATGATGGGAAATGGTGCAGTGCCGCTGAGTGCCATTCCTGTGACATTGAGAGCTGTAAGTAAGGAGACATGTAAGCAGGATGTGTTCTGAAATGAAGAGAAGAAATTTTGCAGTAATTCAGTGGGAAAATATACAGAAGCCTTGAAACTCAGAAAAAATCCCAGATGATATTCACCACGCTCAGCAGTCGCAGATTCAGCCTGACAAGTTGCAGATGTAATATCCCTTTGGCTTTTCACTTTAATCTATTACTATAACAATTCCTATATATGCATTGCACATTTACATGTGACATAAGTGATATAGGTGTTCATCATATCTGATGTGGTAAGAAAAGCCCTGTAACTGGAATTTGGGTCATTATGGCTGAATATTCATTCATTTAATTAATTAGAGCCAATCTTTCAATGAAATTCTTTTAAAACACAAAGATTATTAACCAAACCCTATGATTACGTCTGAAAATATGTCTGGTTTTGCCTGAATTGCTTATTTAAAATGTACTTTTCATGATTTCATCCAACAGCTGACCTGCTTTGAACACACAGTTAATATCAGTTGATAGAGGCAGCTGGTGATGTCTGTGTCTAGTTTTTTGGGATTGAGATGTGCATATGGACAGTATATCTCTACAGTATATAATATTTATATTGACACCTGTTTACACCTTGATTAAATATGTAATTAGTCATTTGCTTAGTGGTCTAAAACTAGGCAACACATAGTCAGATAATTCTGTCGTACATGAGAGCAGCAGTGGAGACATAACATTGAAATGCTTTTTAGCCTCTTTTAAAGTGTCAAAGGAAAACACGATAAGTGAACTGATTTGCAGGTCAGTTATATGTTTATTCAGCTTGTTGCCGGCTGTTACAGATACACCAAGCGTAAACGGTGCAGGGTGCCGACTTTGTGTTAGTTTCACAGATGTAAAGCACCACTTAGATCTAACATCAGCAGACAAACAACAAGGAGCTCCTGCAGTTATCTTTCAGTTTCATTGTTTAGCTTTGGATGAACTCACAGAACAGAAAAAAATATCTAATGCAGATAAGCTGTGAGACACACTGCATGAATATACGGCGAAACCAGTAACAATTAGTCTTCCACAGCATTTACATGTCCAGAAGGTTATGCAAGAAAATACACAATTTTATTAGAAATTAGAAATTTTAAACAACTAGCCAAATAGGAAGACCCAAATTCACTCTGGTTTTTAAACCAACCAAAACTTCTAGCAGTTGCGTAGCTGTAAATGCAGAGGAAGAATAACTAAAAAGGACAAAAATGGGTCTTTAATATAGTGAAAAGAAATGTTTAAGGTTACTGGTTCAGTGACTACTAATAGAGAACCAGGGGTGCAGGACAATGCATAATCGATTGGTAGAGTTCCCAGTCAATAATGCTGCAGGTTTCTTGCATCAATTTAAACATAAAGTCCAAGCATCGAGAGATAAAAGGAATTTTTGTCCTCCGTCACAAACAATTGGTCAAATGTTTGCACAATGAGGGTTCAGAAGATTCAAATAGTACCTCCGGTGCTTGGACTTTAAAATGTGTGACAGAGAGGAACTCAGCCAAAACAATATTGCTGTCCGACATAGCTATGTAACTAATGCAGTGCAGCCACTCTGCATTTTACAGTTTGCCATCTTCTTGATGTGTGGTGTCAGAACGTGTGTAGAAGAAGGGGGACTTCTGGTGGACCTCTTGTTTAGCACAAGGGCGCATCTGTCTTGAGAACGATGAGCTTTGGTTTGCGGTTTGGTTTTTGTGGGGGAGTAAAGGAAGGAGTATTTTGGGGGGAAAGATTATCGTAAAAGAAATGAGGGAAGGAGAGGGGTGATGTTCTGGTCAGGACAGGAAAGAAGAAGGGGTATGAAGAATTCAGGTTTATGCCAGGCTGGTGGCCTTTAGGTTTTAGTTTAGGGTGGGAAGGGAAGGGTAAGCCAGACGAATCTCTTCCCCCTCCAGAAGTTTTCTGAAAAGAAAAAGAAGACAGAATATCATTGAGCTTATTGTGCATTTGTCTGCATATTTACAGAAGTGTAAAATAAGTGAGATTAAAATAAAAATAATAATAAGTTCTTTGAAAACATTTTGTCACAGAATCATACATTTTTGTTTAAGAGAAAACTAAATGTCCAATATTAGTGGAGATCAGCAAACAAAGGCCAGATCTCACCTGTATGCAGCTATTTCAATGTCAAGGGCCATCTTCACATTGAGAAGGTCTTGATACTCTCTCAGGTAGCGCGCCATCTCCTGCTTGGCGTCAGTGATGTCCCGCTCCAGCTCACTTATCCTCATCTATGAATTTTTTAAAAACACAGCCATTCATTATCAAATATCACACTTGGTGATTCCAGACACAGATTGATAAGAACTGAAACATGTAGCACATACAGAACTTTATGATAAATATTTTATATTTTATTTTATTGCTAGAAAGTAGTAAATTAAGTTATTGTTTGTGGAAATCCTTGACCTCTCGTTTGTGTGTCTAGTTATAGTGTCTTTTCTCAGTTTATTCAGACCTCGCAGATTTTCACCTCTGCTGTGAGTCTGCCATTATTTCCTGCTGAGCACTACAGTATGGGGAGGGTGTAGCTGCTGCAGAGAATATATTTACACCTTGTAGCAAAAAGAAGCATTGCCTCTTCCTGCTGTTTCTCTACTTTCTGCACATGGAGTGTTTTCTTTTATTCTCAGTGGTGTCTATTAATAGTATTCCATCTTATCTCTGTGTCCAACCTTGAGGCCAAGACACTATACACATCATCTTTCCTGTCCCCTTTCCCTGTGAACATGTTGGAGCAGAAAGACTCTAAAAAAGCATAAGAAGATTGCTCCTGATCTGAGAGCAGAATACCTCTCAAGTCATACTGGAGCACAAACAAGCAGATGACCAGACTAGATACCACATATTAGTTCACATTCTCCTATTGGATGAATATTCATGCAGATCAGGATCCAGATATCCCTCATTCACCTGGTACTTTGCCACCTCTTTGGCCTGCATCTCCTCAAGATCCTCCAGTTGCTTATTAAGGGAGTCGATGACATTCCGGAGAGCTTCAATCTCCGAGGAGCGGGACTGAAGCAGCCTCCGGTACTCCATGGTCTCCTCCCGGATGGCGTGCACAGCCTCGTTGTTTTTGCTGGCCATCTCCGCCACACTCGCGAACTTGTTCTTGTACCAGTCCTCAGCGGCCTGCATGTTCTTGTTTGCCAGCCGCTCGTACTGTGCTCGGATGTCTCGCAGGGCGGTGGAGAGGTCAGGCCGGGACACCTCCACGTCAACGCTGATGTTAGCCACCTGCAGTTGGGCCTGCAGCTCTGCTTGCTCCTCTGCAAAGACTTTCTTCAGGAACACCATCTCATCACACAGAGAGACCACCGTGGCCTCGGCATCACAGTTGGAGAGCACGGCCCTGCTGGCCTCCTCCCTGGCCCTCTGCAGGGCCTCCTCAGCATCCACACGCCGCCGGGACTCCTCCTCATAGCGCTCCTTCATCTGCTCATACACATCACGCAGGTAGTCTCTCTCCGCCTCCATCCGCATTTTCTCCCCGTTCTCCGAGTCGATCATGGCCCTCAAACTCCTCGCCTGCCCCTCATAGAGCGTCTGCAGACGGGACGGGTCGTTCTGCCGCCGCCTCAGTGCCTCCAGCTCGGCCAGCAGGGCTCGGTTCTGCAGCTCCAGGTGTCTCACCTTCTCAATGTAGGTTGCAAAGCGGTCGTTCAGGTCCACTAGTTGCTCCCTCTCTTGGGAGCGCAGGCCCAGCAGCTCTGTGTTGAGGGAGCTGGCCTGAGCCAGATCCATGCGCTCAGACCCATCTGGCAGGGAAGAGGAGGCCAGCCTCAGGATCCTCTTCCCAGACGGAGGAGCTCGAGAAGAAGAGAAGAGGAAGGACGACATGGAGGATTTGGTGGTGGATTGGGAGCCTCTGTAGCTGTCCCAAGGGCGGCGGTAGGAGAGGTGGGAATCGTAGCTCATGATGAATTTTTTGTTGTGGATTTTTTTGTTTGTTTAAGAAAAGGATATGAATGTTTTTAGTTTCAGAAGATTTTTTTTATGTCCCCCTTGTTCTGCACACCATCGGTGAGGATGAGCGGGCGTTTTTGCACTGCACCAGCTCAGTGATGCTGCAGATCCCTGGCTTTTATAGAGTGAGGCTGCCCTCGGCCCCCTCCACCACAGAGAAACATCTCTGCTGTCAGCATCCACCAGGCCAATAGCAGACTGCTGCAGTGAGCAGAGGGGAGGTTGGTTTTCAGACTCACTCTCAGCTACAGCAGGCAGAGTTGATGTGGTAGAGCAGGCTTTCTTTTCCTCTGCCCTAAAAATGGCATTGCAATCCCTCTCATTACTTTCTGAATTTCTGGAGACATATTTTACACCCTCAGTGCAGACTCAGATGCATCTCTCAAGCTATGAACAAGCAAACCTGATGAAAATGACTTGAAAAAGTCTTTTCCAGAGAGAATCAATACATGGTACATAAAGACTGAGTGAGGTGGGGATATACGTTAATAGCCAGGCACTTTAAGCTTTTAATACCATAGAAAACAATGAATTAAATACGAGAGCAATTGCTCTGTACTTAAATAGATTTGATGGTGGTTGATACATCCTCACTGCCTTTTCTGAATAATATGAATGATGATATCCTGCAAAGTGAACAATACACAGATGGCTGGTGCTTTTCACTTTAATATTTTCTTCTTTTGCACTTTTCTTTTTGATCATCTCTTCTCTTATGTGTTGTCTGTATTGCTATGAATGTCCTTTAGCAGATACCCCTTTGTGATGCCCTATATACTGCTGTTGTTCCCAGAGAATCTTGAGACGTATCTATTTGATCAATTTAGATTGCAAATTGATGAGTCACTGATGTTCTCAAGCCGTCCTGACTCTGACAGTGTGGGTGTGGGAGACACCATGCTGTGCTGTCTGTATCTGCTGACACAGAGAAACAATCTGTTTTATTGCTGTTTAATGTCCAGAGATGAGTCAGAGGGTACCTGTAAATCATCCTTAGTGTTTGTTGAAAAAGAAGCATCAAGCTGATGTTCTTATACAGGAAGTGATTGAGATTTCTGCTCAAGGACACGTTTTTTGGTGACAGACACTTTCAGACTGGTGACAAAACTGTCTCTTTAAAGCGAACATTATACTCCTAGAAGGTGTCAGGATCCTGCAAGCACTTACTGTTTGACCTCTGACACTTACCTGTCTCTGTAGATGTCAGCCCAGCCAAGTGGAATACATTAAAAAGATTCTGCAAGATAGCCTTAAAAAAACTTGCTTTATTCATTTTGGGGGAATACAGAGTCCCTGCATCCCCCAGAGTCCTACCACCGCTTCCAGTATTTTCAACATCATCTTTAAGCTTCAAAGGCTAAAAAGCAAATGATAAAGCAGTGTTATTACGCCAGTAGGTGACACCATTTAGCCAGGAAATGTCCTCCATCAGTTTTCCCTAACTGTAGTCTTTACACATGACAAACTAAAAGATGAGATGTTTCTCGTCCTCTCGTCCGGTTAGCTAGATTACTCCTGTGTATTGCAAAAAGATGGCATTGTTGTGTCAGTTCCATCCAAAGGCTTTTGTAGAGGGAGTTCTATTTATGTTGTTGCAAGTCTTAGCAGTTGCCAAAAGAGGTCAATAATGCTCATTGATCACTTAACATTTAAAGGGACCGTTTTACATAAAAAGACAGAGAGAGTTTTCTTTTCACTTAAATCTGTATTCGATTAATTAATTTAAGGATTATAAACATTGTTACACAGGGAGAAACAATGCAACAGATGTATGTATGTATACAGGGCGTCCAGCTGAAGTTAATTAGAAAATTTTGTCCCTGATTAGTGGGGTAGCTATAGTAGTTTCAGTGTTGCTGCTTGGTTATTCAAACTTTACTGTAGTTCACTCAGAATAGTTTATCCTAAAGGCATTTGATTTATGGACAGCATTGTGCTTTTTGCTTTTTTGTTACTCACAGTTACTCAAAGATGTTTTATTTAGTAGGACTTTCTACCAAAATACACCCACCGCCTGTAATTAAAATGAGCCCCACCTTTACCAGCTACAACATTAAAGTGATGTACACATGAATGAATTGCCAATTATAATATAGTTATATCATATAAGAGATCCTGAAATGCTCACCCAACTATTGGCACTGTGTATTAATAACGGTCACGGTGGAGGATACGGTCTATATATGTTGGTGTAGTTCTTTGCAGTTGCCAGATGGGGTCAATGAAACTGAAAGCATGCTTAACATTTAAAGGAATATCTCACCCCGAAACACAATATAATCTTATTTTCCCTCTTTTAGCTGGAGTGTGATCAGCGTTTTGGTGCGACTGCCTGATTATTTCATTTATATCACCTGTAGCTCATTCAGAAAAGTGAGTGAACAGTTTTTGTGCTCACAGCACCAAAAAGTGAAAGCTCCCAAAGCCTTATTTCAATAATTATAAAAATAATAAACTTTATTTTTATAGCACTTTTCATACAAGAAATACCCAAAGTGATTATAAATGTGGCAAAGTTGCTCACAGGAATTCACAGATCTTATTTGGAGTTTCATTTAGAATTATTGTTAAAAGTCAAAGTCAGTCAAACAGTTGTCCCTCTTCACATGAATGAAAACTCTACCTAATAGTATGTGAATGATCATAAAATATATATAACATTTTAAATATCTTTTAAATATCTTTTTATTGTGTTTCTTAGCAGACCATCCCTCAATACTAAGATTTTGTGTTTGATAGCTGAGATACTGTTGAATGTAAACATGATTTAAAAAGAAAGCTTACAACTACATTACCAACTTATCAACATGCAAACATGTGGGACTTTGAGGTACAAGGTATTTGTTTTTAATGTGAGGTTTTTCACAAGTTGTCCTAGATATGTGAGGTTACTCATTTCAGAACAAGTATAAATGTTATAAGTATGTTTCTAATCAGAGCTGACTTTAAAACACCTTCCTCATCTTGTCTCTCAAAAGCAAAGACCAATCCATCATAAAACATGAAAAGTATTGTTTTGGCTCGATAAAAATAGATAATGTTTTGTTTAAGGTTCTGAACACTAGGTGGCGCATTTGCATTGCATGTCAGTGACTATTGCATACATTTTTCAATTTTGAAAATGCTTGTTCAGTTATGTTTGACCAAATAATCTCAACTCAAAATATAGTCAAAGAAAACTGCAAATTACATGTTTATTCAGAGATAATTTACAGTGAATATATTTCCCAGTGTTACATAAAGTAAAAATAAGTACATAAAACATTTCTGTTGACAGATAAAGACTTTGGAATGTCAGGCTTTTCATTGCTAAAATTTGTCACCCCTTTAATACATTTACAAGAATTGCAGGAATACATTTCCACGTGAAAAAAAATCAATTCAGCATCTGTGTTTTTGAACTTACAGTATATGACAGTAAACTGAAATGATAAGAGCTTGGAGCTACATTAAGAGCATGCAGGTGAACTGCATGTCAGATCTGCCTTCCAATGTTTTACATTCAGTTGAAATCTGCAAAATAGTACTATCCACATAAAATCACATAAAGAATATAAGACATCCAACATATAAACAATACAGAAATTACCTTTAGGCTAAGTTTCAATACAAAAGTGTATTCCTTTGGTAGAAAACATTTATCTCAGGAAAAACATGTGCTCGATATAAACAAGTAGGCTATATGTTGCATTTTGCATGGCCTGTCAGACGTCTTACATCCATGGGCCCATGAACTGTGTCACCTAACATTCATTTCATATCAGGAGTGCTGCATATTTATTTATGTTGGCATCTCATAAACCCAGACTCCGCTGACATGCGCAGGGCAGTTTTCACTGGCACTGTGCTTCTTGAAACACAGCAACGTATGATTACAGCATGAAGGTGGTCATTCACAGGTCGATCTGTACAGTACTTTGGTTCATTTTTGATCACCAAGTCTTTAGAGTGCTGCGGGGGGGGGGGGGGGGGGGGGGGGGGGGGGGGGGGGGGGGGGCATATTGCGCGCTTTGCGTCCAAGTGTAAACTATGTGCCCATAGAGTTACAACAAAGATATAGACGAAAACATTGCGAATGAAGCAGTGACATACAAAAGAAATCAATACAAATCTTATTTTCTTAAAATCTTCCTCTCCAGACTTGCCTTGTGCATGAAATGGGGCAAAATTACATACTGCCATACACACTATTAATTTACAGTGCAACTCAGACTTCATTCATCTCTTCGCTTAGAAGATTTTCAGCCTTTTGCCAATCGCTCTGCCTCCCTTCGCCACTCTCTGGCTCGCCTGATCTTTAGATAGCGGGCAGTACTTGATAGTGTGCGCATTGTCACCGTTGGCACTGCAGAGGGGACAGGTGTATGCCCGGAGGATGGGGCACAGGACTCTGCCGTCCGCTGTCTTCAGGATATGGGTGCCGTAAACTTCCTCCGGTGCACCGTTGTTCCGACAGAAGACGCACACCTTCGGCTCCGGCTTGCACCTCTGAGTCTGTTTGCGCCTTCTGTCCATGGAGAGCAGGTCGAGGCCGGCGAAGCTTCCCCTGTAGGGGGGTGAATCTCTGTCTCCCAGCGGCGAGTCACCGACAAGATGTTCGTACGGCCTGAGAAGCGAGATGCGCTCCTTGAGATCATAGATGGAGATCGGCGGGGAGCCAGGAGCCGCGCAGCAGCAGTCCAAGTGTCCGTCGCTGTCCCTGCCGTGCCCAATTACGCAGGAGCAAACCGGGGAATCGTCTTCCAAGCCCAGAGTCGCCTTAAGAGACTCAGTTATAGAGTTGGGGTTGCAGGACGGACTGTTGATCTTATTTTTGGCGACGAGTGTCGACAGGCCGAGGTAGTCGTTCCAAAAATTAAAGGTGTAATCATAAGGAGACCGCGCTTCCAGGTACCCGCGGTCTAAAAAATCCATCCTTTCAGAGTTTAGTGTCCACAGAAGTGAATAGGCGTTTCGGATGGTGTGTCTGTCAGCATGGGTAGTCTCTGGAGGTGATCTACTCTCTTCTCTTGCTGGGTCTAGTGTGCAGAGCAGTCAACATGTAGGCGTTGATAAACTCCCCAGAATAAAACAGGGGGGCGTGGTTTGGTTCAAGTTGATAATCTCTCTGGCCCCATAGGAGGGTCTACAGAGCAGAACAGGGAGTTACTAGCTGGGAAAATCAGGTTCCCTCCCAGAATGGGACTATTATTACGGAGAGAGTATCTATTTGTGTTACAACAGAATTATTTACCCAGTTGGTTGACAGACTGATGCATTTTTCATTCTCAGAATTATTTATTAGGTTGTTTTGTCCTTGAGTTTTGTTGGTTTTTGGCAAATCTAAGAACAAGGTTTGGATAGAAATTGGTCAAAAATCAATTTGTTTGGTGCTATATTTGGGTAAATTTTGATTCAGTGATTTTTAGTGTTAGTTGATAGAAAGCAACAGTTATTAAGTTTACCTCCAGGTGATAAAATGTTTTTATTTTACAGAAGTAGAAGTGATGTTTTGTTTGTTGTCAGCACAGCAACAACAGTTTATTTAAAGGAGCCCTCCACTGGTTTTGTATTACACTGCCATGAAGTTAGGGGACCTACAAGAGATGGATTCTTAAAATTATTGTCAAAACAAATGCAGCAGAAGCCAAAAAAATTTGACTTTTTGTCCCTCCTTTGGCTCAAGCTCTCCAAAACACTGGATCCTACATTATCCACATCCTCCATAAACATCTCACTCTAAACAGATGGTTGTAGGGTCAGATATTAGTAGTCTAAACTAAGCTCAGACTATAGCGTTAATCAGGGTTATTTTTTCAGCCACAGAAAACATTGTAGTACTAACCATGACTAGTAAACTGATCTTTGTGTGTAAAGCCATTGGATTTCCCCTCTAACGATATTTTGATAACTTGGTACAATAGAAATAAAATACTGGAATTTGCTACTGCAGTCTATTTCACTTTTGATGACATAGACAATAAACAAGAATGCACTGACTGGTGTTTCTAGCTAACATTGTTTGTGTAATTTCTTTTCTCTTTTTTAAAGCATCAATATTACATTCATTTAGCTGACACTTTTATCTAAAGCGACTTTAATTGCCAGATATGTCTGAGGTCTCAGGCCTAGTAAATAGTAAATAAAAGCGTTTTAGATTAAAATGAGTCTTAAAGGATAAAGGATAGGTTCATATTTTTCAAGTCTGTTAAAGCAAATCTCTATGAGAACTGTAGATTTCGTCTTCGTACATTAGAAAGGGATCAGTATATGGCCAGTGTTTGGAGGGGGAACAAGTTATAGTGACCAAAAGCTGTTTTAATGTACATGTGGATATATGAGTATTGTTTTAAGACAGACTTGAAAATATGTGAATCCTTTATACTAAATGTTTCTATATGTCCAAAAAGTTGGCACTTGGATAAAACAATCATCACATACAGCTTTAAATAAAAGACCTTGTGAGTTACAATTAGAAGCAATAGCAGTTGCTAAATAAACTGTAAGACAAAAAGAAAATGTAAGGAAATAGTCTTGTACAGGCCTCTCTGTTTGATTTACAAGATATTTCTGTGACAAAAAGTGCAGTAACACCATAACAATGGATCAGGATAAGAATCCGGATGAAACACATGCCACATTAACAGATCCCTTCCTGCACTAATAAACCTATAGTGAGTCGTTCCACGTGAAGCTGCCATGTCCTCCCTGCACCTGTTCGGCTTCCCCTGAGTCCACGGCTTTATGCTCACACCCAGTCCTCCTCTACTCCATTGTCTCCTCTCTACAGCGGGCCGTTTAACTTCATTAATATGCATTAAAACGGAGTGTGCCGTGTGCATGTGTGTGTGTGTGTGTCACTCAAAGCACAGTCAGTAAAAAAAGAGCTTGATGACTTGACTGCTGGGACAATGACTATGTTACTATTTTTGTCAGACACTCAAGTGAAATATTAAGGACAGTCAAAAGTTGAGACAAAAGTCATTTGCACGTTTTATATTTAAAATGTGTGCGAAGATCCAGTTTGCCACCATTGTGGGGGTTTTAATTCATGAAATAAATCAATATTAGTCTTTCACAGACTTAAAGTGAGTCTTGAATGAAATGATCCTGAGAGGAATTTATATAAAAACTTAAATCCATATTTTTATCCCAATTTCTGGATCCAGTGTTTTTATACACTAGGTTATTACAACTTTATAAGCATGTTTTAAGCTTGTTTCTAGTGTTTGTGTACATAGGCATTTCATAAAAATGCAGAAGGAAGAGACCTGGATTTGGTGTTACAAAAGGATTGAATTTGGCATGAAATCGAGCTAAAATCATCAAAAAATGTGTCCAAAATTTGCATGGCCCTATAAATCCTGAAATGGATTCTTTGAAAAGAGAATATATTGGTTGCTGCTTTAAAAGTCTCCAGCGAGTGTAAATGGCACAAAGCATGAAGAAAACCATGTTAGTGAGATAGTTCTTTATGTATGTGAGAATAAATTATCATCAGAATACACCACATGGTCCATTTCAAGGTCACCTCCGGCTCTGCGTGCACAAAGGAAATCATGAGAGAGCATTTAAAAGATGAATGGCTGCCAAATCACAATAGATAAATTGCATCGGGGCCAATATGACATGTGGCTCTGCTGCTTCAGGGTGCCTATATTGCTCTTAATGCAAAACGTGTTTGGCAGCAACAATGAAAGTGTTGATTTTATGAAATACATCCAGTTTTACATTTGAACAGTTTCAGTCCCATCACTTGAAATATCTTACACGCTGATCGAGGCAAGTTTATTTGTATGGCACCTTTAAAACACAGAGGGCCACTGAAAAAGTGCTATACATAAGGCAAGGTAGATTTAAAACACAATTCCATTTGAAGAAGAAAGAAATGAAATAAAAACATGCTAAAATAATAGACAAGGAGTACAGTTTCAGCATACTTAACAGTGCAGTAATAAATCACCCCAAATTTAATAAAGGAAACTAAAGAGCAGTAGAGAAAACGAATCAGTCAAATGCGCAGGAAGACAAGACAGTTTTTAATTTATATTTAAAGAGGCCAAAGTTGGGGCACATTTATGATCATTTGGAAGTTGGTTGCATGTGTGTGCAGGATTACAGCTGAACACAGCTTCATCATGTTTGGTTCTACAACTAGTGCAGTCTAATAAATCAGTCCTGCAATAAATCTTACCTTAGTGTTGTTGTTGAAACCGTTTTAGAGAGATGTGGAACTTTATTTTTGAGGTTGTAGTTGAATTTCATTGTATCAATGGATTTATTGGATAAAATATTCAAAACACCTGTCAGTATAATGTCATACCAATCAACAGCACCATAAGCTGCAGCCTTCAAAATGTACTTTGCCCTTTAGGACATTAAGAGCAGCAGCACATTCGAGGGTACGTCTGCTGATGTTCTATATTTTTCTTGGAATTTGTCTTGAGATTCCATGAAAACTATGTATTTATGAGCCATTTTAAGATTTACATCTTCAGTAGGAACCACTGGGCTTGGGGATGAGTACTCTAGAAGAAGTAGGGAAGTGAGACTAACATTTTTGGTTTTGATTTTTCATGGAATTTGTTGAAAATAAGAAACATACAGAATAACACCAGCCTTATCATATGAAGTAACTAACTGGAAACTGCTGTAATGATGTGAATAATGTGCTCACTTCTCCTCGATCTTTTTAGAACTCTTGCAACATAATTATGAATGTGCTGCACTTGCTGCATGGTCTTTTTAATACATACTGATAGTTATTGAATTTCACATGAAGTAGTAGATTAGTATAGTTGCTTTCAAATAGTTATGTACTTGAGAATAAAATAATCAGTTTTTGAAGAATGGCTTAATGTACATTTTAGGCTTTTAAAGGCACTTAAAAAGAGTGCATGATAAATTTAAACTGGTAACTGGCCAAGATAACAATGAAGAGTCTAAGAGTTACTTCCGTTGTAGCCAAATAGCAGCAACAAATCTTGCTTTGTTCACACAATGTGTGGCCATTGTTCAACTCTGTTTACTTCCCAGTCCTATCTGGCCTCCACACAGGCTGCGACAGAGTGTCAGCCACATTTTTTTTCAGCTCCAGTAAATGTAGTGACTCTGGCTTCCAAAGGGTTAAAAATCTTCATGTGTGAATACGGTTTCAGATTGTGATGATCGCACCCAGAGGCCTCCTAGGCAGCTCTGTCTGCCGAACAGCCGAGAATGAGATGGGCAGGCGCTGCGCCCCCATTCATCACTGTCAAGTTGAATAGAAAATTAACAAATCCCTTAATTAAAATACCTCTCTAGACTCCGCTCTGTGTGTGTGTGCATGTGTGTGTATGTGTGGCACGTGCCAGATGCACTGCTACATTGTGCAAGCTACAACGGCCCAGCACAAGAAACACACACAACACTCCTTTCCATGCAAACACACCCTCACAGACACAAACAGCCCACCACTCCTATAGACCCCTGCCATTCCTGTCGCTGCATTAATTGCACAAACTGCATAATGCGGCCGGCCAGAGCAGCACTTCATTCTGAATCTCTGAACGTCCCCAGACACAGAGCTGGGAGGCGAGTCAGTTAGGGCTTTGATCCCTGACCTCTGCCTCCTCTCTTGGGAATATAGGACTGCATCCCTAACGGTCCGTCCATCTGCACACACACACTCACACACCTTCTGCCGCCCCCAGCTCATAGAGTCAACCCAACCCTAGACACGTGTCACTGTCACCGGCAGCAATAGG